CGTCACACCACTATCAGCTGACAGACTATGTGTCCGTCACACCACTATCAGCTGACAGACTACGTGTCCGTCACACCACTATCAGGTGACAGACTATGTGTCCGTCACACCACTATCAGCTGACACACTACATGTCTGTCATACCACTATCAGCTGACAGACTACGTGTCCGTCAAAACACTATCAGCTGACAGACTACGTGTCCGTCACACCACTATCAGCTGACAGACTATGTGTCCGTCACACCACTATCAGCTCACTGCGTATGTGTCCGTCACACCACTATCAGGTGACAGACTATGTGTCCGTCACACCACTATCAGCTGACAGACTACGTGTCCGTCACACCACTATCAGGTGACAGACTATGTGTCCGTCACACCACTATCAGCTGACAGACTACGTGTCCGTCACACCACTATCAGCTGACAGACTACGTGTCCGTCAAAACACTATCAGCTGACAGACTACGTGTCCGTCACACCACTTTCATCTGACGGACTATGTGTCCGCCACACCACTATCAGCTGACAAACAGCGTGTCCGTCAAACAACTATCAGCTGACAGACTACGTGTCCGTCACACCACTATCAGCTGACTGCGTATGTGCCCGTCACACCACTATCAGCTGACAGACTATGTGTCCGTCACACAACTATCAGCTGACAGACTACGTGTCCGCCACACCACTATCAGCTGACTGCGTATGTGTCCGTCACACCACTATCAGCTGACAGACTACGTGTCCGTCAAAACACTATCAGCTGACAGACTATGTGTCCGTCACACCACTATCAGCTGACAGACTACGTGTCCGTCACACCACTATCAGCTGACAGACTACATGTCTGTCACACCACTATCAGCTGACAGACTACGTGTCTGTCACACCACTATCAGCTGACAGACAACTTGTCTGTCACACCACTATCAGCTGACAGACTACATGTCTGTCACACCACTATCAGCTGACAGACTACGTGTCTGTCACACCACTATCAGCTGACAGACTACATGTCTGTCACACCACTATCAGCTGACAGACTACGTGTCTGTCACACCACTATCAGCTGACAGACTACGTGTCTGTCACACCACTATCAGCTGACAGACTACGTGTCTGTCACACCACTATCAGCTGACAGACTACGTGTCTGTCACACCACTATCAGCTGACAGACTACGTGTCTGTCACACCACTATCAGCTGACAGACTACATGTCTGTCACACCACTATCAGCTGACAGACTACGTGTCTGTCACACCACTATCAGCTGACAGACTACGTGTCTGTCACACCACTATCAGCTGACAGACTACGTGTCCGTCACACCACTATCAGCTGACAGACTACATGTCTGTCACACCACTATCAGCTGACAGACTATGTGTCCGTCACACCACTATCAGCTGACAAACAGCGTGTCCGTCAAACAACTATCAACTGACAGACTACGTGTCCGTCACACCACTATCAGCTGACTGCGTATGTGTCCGTCACACCACTATCAACTGATAGACTACGTGTCCGTCACACCACTATCAGCTGACTGCGTATGTGTCCGTCACACCACTATCAGCTGACAGACTACGTGTCTGTCACACCACTATCAGCTGACAGACTATGTGTCCGTCACACCACTATCAGCTGACAAACAGCGTGTCCGTCAAACAACTATCAACTGACAGACTACGTGTCCGTCACACCACTATCAGCTGACTGCGTATGTGTCCGTCACACCACTATCAGGTGACAGACTATGTGTCCGTCACACCACTATCAGCTGACAGACTACGTGTCCGTCACACCACTATCAGGTGACAGACTATGTGTCCGTCACACCACTATCAGCTGACAGACTACATGTCTGTCATACCACTATCAGCTGACAGACTACGTGTCCGTCAAAACACTATCAGCTGACAGACTACGTGTCCGTCACACCACTATCAGCTGACAGACTATGTGTCCGTCACACCACTATCAGCTGACAAACAGCGTGTCCGTCAAACAACTATCAACTGACAGACTACGTGTCCGTCACACCACTATCAGCTGACTGCGTATGTGTCCGTCACACCACTATCAGGTGACAGACTATGTGTCCGTCACACCACTATCAGGTGACAGACTATGTGTCCGTCACACCACTATCAGCTGACAGACTACGTGTCCGTCACACCACTATCAGCTGACAGACTACGTGTCCGTCACACCACTATCAGCTGACAGACTATGTGTCCGTCACACCACTATCAGCTGACAAACAGCGTGTCCGTCACACCACTATCAGCTGACAGACTACGTGTCCGTCACACCACTATCAACTGACAGACTACGTGTCCGTCACACCACTATCAGCTGACAGACTACGTGTCCGTCACACCACTATCAACTGACAGACTACGTGTCCGTCACACCACTATCAGCTGACTGCGTATGTGTCCGTCACACCACTATCAGCTGACAGACTACGTGTCCGTCACACCACTATCAGGTGACAGACTATGTGTCCGTCACACCACTATCAGCTGACAGACTACGTGTCCGGCACACCACTATTAGGTGACAGACTATGTGTCCGTCACACCACTATCAGCTGACAGACTACGTGTCCGTCACACCACTATCAGCTGACAGACTACGTGTCCGTCAAAACACTATCAGCTGACAGACTACGTGTCCGTCACACCACTTTCATCTGACGGACTATGTGTCCGCCACACCACTATCAGCTGACAGACTACGTGTCCGTCACACCACTATCAGCTCACTGCGTATGTCTCCGTCACACCACTATCAACTGACAGACTACGTGTCCGTCAAAACACTATCAGCTGACAGACTACGTGTCTGTCACACCACTATCAGCTGACAGACTACGTGTCTGTCACACCACTATCAGCTGACAGACTACGTGTCTGTCACACCACTATCAACTGATAGACTACGTGTCTGTCACACCACTATCAGCTGACAGACTACATGTCCGTCACACCACTATCAGCTGACAGACTACGTGTCCGTCACACCACTATCAGCTGACAGACTACGTGTCTGTCACACCACTATCAGCTGACAGACTACGTGTCCGTCACACCACTATCAGCTGACAGACTACGTGTCTGTCACACCACTATCAGCTGACAGACTACGTGTCTGTCACACCACTATAAGCTGACAGACTACGTGTCCGTCACACCACTATCAGCTGACTGCGTATGTCTCCGTCACACCACTATCAGCTGACTGCATATGTGTCCGTCACACCACTATCAGCTGACTGCGTATGTGTCCGTCACACCACTATCAGCTGACTGCGTATGTGTCCGTCACACCACTATCAGCTGACTGCGTATGTGTCCGTCACACCACTATCAGCTGACTGCGTATTCGCCAGCCTCACAACAGTTGACCACCAACAGTAACTATATGTCTGCCAGAGCTGTTGTTTGTCAGCCGTATGTATTTCCCGGAACGACATCAATGAACAACATAATCAGAATCACATTACAGTTTATTCATCCTTTACTGAATTGAGTGTGACAGCGTGTCAAGGTGACCATGTAATATTTTATGGCTTGTCTGAACACAGGGTGCCAGGAAGGCGTGTCTGAGCAACGTGCAGTAAGGCAACCAATGACTACACGTGATTGTCACAGGGACACACAAAACTCCGCCTTACTGGAGCAGTGACTGTTGTTTTGACTGCAACTTGATATGTAGTCGTCAAATGTTAATTTGTCCAACAATACCTTCATCTCCATGAAGGTTTTATGTCTACTTGCAAAACCGTACATTGGATGTTAATAAGCTGCACGTTAAGCGACTATCAAACCATAGCGAGGAGTCATGTAGAATCGTGTGCGTGTGCCCTGCTGTGTAGACGACGTCTGCTACTGCTGCTGCGATGACTCCATGGACGCTGGTGTCTTTGCTGCTGTTGTTGGTGTCGGTGGTGTGGGAACGAGGTGTCGCCACAGAGCGGTTGCTTCCTTCAGAAGAGGCCTGTAAGCGGTTATGTTGGTACCAAAAGCTTTGCAAGTCTCTGCGGTGGAACAGCTGGACTGGCGGATGTGGTGTCCATGATCCGGCGATGTCCGTTCGTTGTCTCCTCGTCTCTCATGTTTCCGTCTTCCGGCCATGTGTTGTGTCTATTCTTGCTGTCGGTCATTTGTCCGGGTCCTTGTATGTCCGCGTTTGTCCTGTCTTCCATGTGGGGTCTCCGGTTATGTGCCATTCTTTCCGTGTGTGGCTAATTCCGTCTTCCGTGTGCATGCTGGTCCGTTCGTGCTGTGGGTTCTGGGGATCTGTGTGGGAATGTGGCTGGGGTCTGGTATTCCACTGGTCCTGGTCAGTGTCCTTCGGTGTGTGTGTCGGTGGTCATTCCGGGTCCACTCCATGCATGCTGTGCTGTGTCGGCTCTGGTTGCGGCCTCAGGCCTGCTACGTCCTTCCACTCGGATGTCGTTCACAGTCCTGTATTCCTGTCACCTTGTGTCCCATTATGGGTCCACTCTGGTGTGGATCACTGATGCTGGGTCGGTCCATGTGGGTGGTCCATGCCTCCGTGTCACTATCCACTCCTTCCTGTCCAGTCCACTTCCATCTGTCCACATCACCTTTCCTCCACCATATGTCCATCCTCCGGCCTCCATCTGTCCATCTCCGTCCTCCCTCCTGTCCTTCCTCCGTCTGTCCGGTCCTGTCCACGCCTCCGTCTGTCCTGTCGTCGTCCTGCCGTCCTCCTCCACGTTTTACCGTCCTCCACGTCTTCTGTCGTCCGTCTGCCGTCGTCCTCCTCCACGTCCTGTCTGTCCACCTCCGTCTGTCCACATCCGTCCTCCACGCGTCTATCTGTCCACCTCCATCCTGTCCTGTCCACGCGTCCATCTGTCCACCATCGCGTCCATCCATCGTCGTCCATCCGTCCACTCGTCCTCCGTCCTGTCCATCCATCGTCATCCTTTCCACGTCCTCACGTCCATCCTTCCGTCTGTCATCCTTCCGTCCTCCGTCCGTCCGTCCATCTTCGTCGTCTACGTCCGCGTCCGTCTGTCGTCCTCATCCACGCCTCCGTCTGTCCACTCCGCCTCTGTCCATTCATCCGTCTGTCCACGTCTCCTTCCTCCATCTGTCCGTGTCCATCCATCCCTCCATCCCTTCCTCCATCCATCCATCTCCATCCACTTCCTCCATCCTTCCACCTCCATCCTCCCTCCACCTCCATCCTTCCTCCATCCCCCTCCATCCTTCCACCTCCATCTCCACCTCCTCCACCTTCCATCTGTCCACCTTCCCTCCACTGTCCTCCATCCATTCCATCCATCTGTCCATCCACTATCCATCCTCCATCCTGTCCATCCATCCTCCACCTTCCTTCCATCCTCCATCCCCTCCACCTCCATCCTCCTCCATCCATCCATCCACCTCCATCCCTGTCCTCCTCCTCCCTCCCCTCCATCCTCCATCCACTCTCCTTCCTCCATCCATCCTCCATCCATTCCATCCTCCATCCATCCATCCTCCCTCCACCTCCATCCTCCTCCATCCATTCCTCCCTCCTCCTCCATCCATCCTCCATCCTCCATCCACCTCCATCCTCCTCCTCCATCCTCCTTCCTCCACCTCCATCCATCCTTCCTCCATTCCTCCATCCTCCATCCTCCATCCATCCTCCATCCATCCATCCATCCATCCTCCATCCATCCATCCATCCTCCCTCCATCCATCCTCCACCTCCATTCCTCCATCCCTCCATCCATCCATCCTTCCTCCATCCATTCCTCCATCCTCCTCCATCCATCTTCCTCCATCCATCCTCCATCCATCCTTCCTCCATCCATCCATCCTCCTTCCATCCATCCATCCATCCCTCCATCCACTTCCTCCATCCTCCATCCTGTCCATCCATCCTTCCTCCATCTGTCCTCCACCATCCTCCTCCATTCCTCCATCCTGTCCATCTTGTCCTCCTCCTCCATCCTCCTCCATCCATCCTTCCATCCATCCATCCATCCTCCATCCATCCATCCTTCCTCCATCCTCCATCCTCCATCCTTCCTCCATCCTCCTCCATCCTCCTCCATCCATCCATCCACTTCCTCCATCCATCCTCCATTCCTCCCATCCATCCTCCATCCATCCTTCCATCCTCCTCATCCATCCATCCTCCTCCCTCCATCCTCCATCCATCCTCCATCTGTCCATCCTCCATCCATCCTCCATCCATCCATTCCATCCATCCATCCTGTCCATCCACCTCCTTCCTCCACCTCCTCCATCCATCCCATCCATCCATCCTCCATCCCATCCTCCCTTCCATCCATCCATCCATCTCCTCCTCCATCCTCCATCCATCCATCCTCTCCATTCCATCCATCCTCCATCCATCCTGTCTTCTCCTCCCTCCATCCTCCATCCTCCTCCTCCATCCATCCATCCATCTTCCTCCATCCTGTCTGTCCTCCTCCCTCCATCCTCCTTCCTCCCTCCATCCTCCTCCTCCATCCATCCATCCCCTCCTTCCTCCCTCCATCCTCCACCTCCATCCTCCTCCATCCATCCATCCTCCTCCATCCTCCATCCTCCATCCTCCATCCCTCCACTCCTCCATCCATCCATCCACCTCCTCCACCTCCATCCTCCTCCATCCACCTCCATCCTTCCTCCATCCTCTCCACTCCTCCATCCTCCTCCATCCATCCTCCATCCTTCCTCCTCCATTCCTCATCTTCCCTCCACCTCCATCCATCCTCGTCCTCCATCCTCCTCCCTCCATCCTTCCTCCATCCTCCATCCTCCTCCATCCGTCCATCCTTCCTCCATCGTGTCCACTGTCCTCCTTCCATCCTCCACCTCCATCCTCCATCCCTCCATTCCTCCATCCATCCTCCACCTCCATCCATTCTCTCCTCCATCCATCCATCTTTGTCCATCTGTGTCCATCCATCCATCCTTCCTTCCTCCGTCCTCCTCCTCCATCTGTCCATCCTCCATCCTCCATCCCCTCCATCTGTCCATCCATCCATCCCTCCGTCCATCCTTGTCCATCCATCCTCCCTCCATCCTGTCATTGTCCATCCGTCCTGTCCATCTCCTCCATCCGTCCATCCTCCTTCATCCTCCATCCCTCCTCCGGTCCTCCATCCTCCATCCTGTCCTCCCTTCTGTCCTCCTCCATCCATCCATCCTCCATTCCACCTCCTCCTCGTCCATCTTTCTGTCCTTCCTCCATCCATCTGTCCTTCCATCCATCCATCCGGTCCACTCCATCTCATCCATCCTTCCTCCTCTGTCCTCCTCCGTCCTCCACCTCCATCTGTCCACCCTCCTCCATCTTCCATCCTCCATCCATCCATCCTCCATCCTCCACCTCCATCCTGTCCACCTCCGTCCTCCTCCATTTGTCCATCCTCCTCATCTGTCCTCCACCTCCATCCATCCTCCCTCCATTGTCCATCGTGTCGTCTTCCTTCCGTCTGTCCATCCATCCTCCATCCATCTCATCCATCCATCTGCCCTCCATCCTTCCTCCATCCTCCTCCATCTGTCCATCCTTGTCCTCCATCTTCCTTCGTCCTCCACCTCCATCCTTCCCTCCTCCATCTTCCTCCTCCATCCTTCCATCCGCCTCCTTCTGTCCTCGTCCGTCCTCCATCCATCCTCCGCCTCCATCTGCTCCATCTCCTCCATCTTGTCCTCCGATTATGTCCTCCATCCTCCATCCGTCCTTCGTCTGCCACCTCCATCTGTCCACTTCCTCCATCCTGTCCACTCCACGCCTCCATCTGTCGTCCACCTCCACGTCTCGTCGGATCCATCTTTTCCGTCCTCCGCGCCTCTGTCTGTCACGTGTCGCTGGTCATCCATCGCCGGCTTCAGGTCGTCCACACATCTGCCGTCCTCCCTCCCCGCCTTCGTCTGTCCACACATCTGCCGGCCTCCCTCCGTCTCCCGTCTGTCTGCATCCTCCATCCATCCACTCCACCGCCTCCATCTGTCGCGTTGTCTGTCCGCACGTCTGCCGGGTCATCCGTCTGTCTGCCCCTCATCCTCCGGCCCCGTCATGGCA